GAGAGTCACGTGGCGAGCGAGCACGTTCTTTCGTTCGGGATTAAGAGCAGCAGCAGCAGCAACAACAGCAGCGGACGCGGCGTTTTGGATGTGTTCGCCACTTGGTTGTCTGCTCGGGAGCGGCGTGGATCTCGTGCGGCCATCGACGGAGTGGAGACCGCGAGACGTGTTCGCAACGCGGCCGACGGCGCGACCAGGTGAGGCCGTGGACGCGTCTCGGGGACGTGTGAATCGTTCCGCTCTCGCCGTGCGTGTCCTATCGATCACCGTGTTTGGCCTTCTGAGCATTGCGGCATCGAGAGGTTTGTCGAAGCTGAAATGTGGTGCGCGATTTTTGCTCGGTGTGAGAACTAGAAAACTTCAAGTTACGAACACAAACTGGGGGGGGGGGGTGAAACGGAGAAGCTGGCGAGCCGGGTTGGTGTTGGCGGGCTCAGTCTTGAAGCGGTGTCCACGCAACGTCCGCGATAAGGTTCGATATATATCTGTGTGTGTATCGATTAGCAGGGTGTAATGATAATTGTGTGGTTGGGCCCCGTGTCTGGTTGGAGCCTTCGAGCTCGAGAGAGGCCAGCCGGGGCGGCCCCGAGGTTGTAAGGAAGCCCGCAGTCACAGAGGCCTCGTGGCCTGCGCAGAGGCCTCGCGGCCTGCACAGAGGCCTGGTGGCCTGCATAGAGGCCTGTTGGCCTGCATAGAGGCCTGTTGGCCTGCATAGAGGCCTCGCGGCCTGCACAGAGGTCTCGCGGCCTGCACAGAGGTCTCGCGGCCTGCACAGAGGCCTCGTGGCCTGCACAGAGGTCTCGCGGCCTGCACAGAGGCCTCGTGGCCTGCACAGAGGTCTCGCGGCCTGCACAGAGGCCTGGTGGCCTGCATAGAGGCATGTTGGCCTGCACAGAGGCCTCGCGGCCTGCACAGAGGCCTCGTGGCCTGCACAGAGGCCTGTTGGCCTGCATAGAGGCCTGTTGGCCTGCATAGAGGCCTCGCGGCCTGCACAGGTCACGTGGCCTGCACAGAGGCCTCGTGGCCTGCACAGGTCGCGGCCTCGCAGGCCTCAGCACTGGCCCAGTCCGGGTGCAGGGTGGGGGTGGTGTGATCTGGCAGCGTTATTTTTCTCGTAGCTTTATTCTTTTTTCTTTAAGCAAAGTGAATCTTCCATCGTATGTAAGCTTGCTATGATGTGTGTCGTAAAAAAAGTGGAAGATATCAATGTTTTTGTTGCATGAAAAATCGGAATTCGAACCGATGTCCAAATTGGGGAAATTTTTACGACTTTATTTTTAACTAAACAACGGACCAGGCTTCATGTGATTTATGCAAACAACAAAAAAGTGTGGAAACTTAACGACGGGTTATTTTTGCCCGAAAAATCTCAGCGCCTCATTCCACGTCACTCATCGTCCTGAGTTCCTGCCTCTTGGCGGCACACGGAGCCTGAAAACAGTCGCCGTGGCCACCACCATCACCACTACCATCACCACCACGCCGTGTACACCACCATCACCATCACATCACCACGCCGTGGCCACCACCACCACCACGCCGTGTACACCACCATCATCACCACCACCACGCCGTGTACACCACCATCATCACCACCACCACGCCGTGTACACCACCATCATCACCACCACCACGCCGTGGCCACCACCACCACCACGCCGTGGCCACCACCACCATCATCACCACGCCGTGGCCACCACCACCACCATCATCACCACCACCACGCCGTGGCCACCACCACCATCATCACCACGCCGTGTACACCACCATCATCACCACCACCACGCCGTGTACACCACCATCACCACCACCACCATCATCACCACCACCACGCCGTGGCCACCACCACCATCATCACCACGCCGTGTACACCACCATCATCACCACCACCACGCCGTGTACACCACCATCACCACCACCACCACGCCGTGGCCACCACCATCATCACCACCACCACGCCGTGGACACCACCACCACCATCATCACCACCACCACGCCGTGGCCACCACCATCATCACCACGCCGTGTACACCACCATCATCACCACCACCACGCCGTGTACACCACCATCATCACCACCACCACGCCGTGTACACCACCATCACCACCACCACCACGCCGTGGCCACCACCACCACCATCACCACCACCACCACGCCGTGGCCACCACCACCATCATCACCACCACCACGCCGTGTACACCACCATCATCACCACCACCACGCCGTGGACACCACCACCACCATCATCACCACCACCACGCCGTGAGCGGAGAGAATTCACAATCCCCTTGGTACACCGACACCCGTCACCAGCTTGTCCAATTGAACCTTATGGCGACAACCCGTGGTCCCGAATAAACACGAGTCAAAATCGTAATTGATGAATTTATTTTTGGCGATTCCGTCCCCCCACCGCGCACACAAACGCCGCGACCCGCCTGGCGCGGATCATTCTGTTGTCGTGTCCAAGCGCAGCAGCGAGCACAAATGCGCAGCATAAACAAAACTTCGCTTAGCGCGTCGTGTAGAGCTCGTCGAGATGAATACATTGCCGTGTCGTTCGCCTTCAATAGACATCAAGTGACGTCGCAATGGAACTTAGGCGAGAGCCGCCGGGGGCTTATGGGAAACCTGGGGTCCCGCCAAAAGGTTCAATGTATTCGTCGATGTCTGCCTCTTGTCGGTGTGCGTGAATTCGTGTCTGTCCGATGTGCGGATGGCCGTCAAAGCCTCGTTAATCTCGTCGACGACGCAGCTTCACTCGGGCCGAGTCTGTCGACCGCGGAGCACGACCGCCAGGCCTGCGCGTGTTCGCTGAACTTATTTCGCACCGAACGGAGCTAACGGTGCTAATCGAAGGTGCACGGGGGCAGGACAATAAACTAAACACGAAAATAAATCTGTTTTAAAATAGCCTCGCTGGCCGCACATCGTGGCCTGTGGCTCTGCAACTGTTCTAAACAGCGTGGCCTCTGTCAACACTGTGACGGCCACGTGCGTTTTACTTCGAGCCAACAATGTCGGTCTGTGCCTCGCGCGTGACGTCACTCCGCCGGCCAGCCCCCCTCATTAATAATCATGAGCGGGTGACGTCACTCCAGATTGAACAGCCCCCCCCCCCCATCTAACCTATATAATTCATTTTTTGTCCGTCCGTCCGCATACGCTCCCTACCGGGGGATTTAGCTCTCGGACCGTGGGGTTCGGCGAGATTAAATTTTGCAGGTGGGCACGCCCCTGGCCCCGCGGTAAATTTAGGCATTTCCGATTTTTCGTCTCTAAACTTTAAATCGGACCGATTATCGATTTAGTGAGATTTTTATTTATTTATTTAACGCTTTATTTATTTACTCTTGCCGGCCGGCGCGGACCACGGCGGTTGCCCCTGGCAACGGGTAGCAACAACTTCGCTGCGGGGTGGACGCCATTTTGAATTCCCGTTAAAAATATGCGCATGCATTAACACGCGATTCTGAGGTAAATTCATCAAAGTTTCACGTCCTCTTCACTCCCCCCCCCACCCCAATGTGTGCAATTACTATTATAGGGTCGGTAGATAATAAAATTATAGCGATTAGACAGTATTATTGTAGCGCGGGGGGGGGGGGGGTTAACGGCCCCAGTACCCAGCCTGAGCCGGGTGGGCAATCTAGGCGAGGCCGGAGGCTCTGCACGGTACTAGGCCTCGACACGCAACTCTGTCAGGCGACGACTTTGTGGTATAAACTCGATATACCCAGCGTTGCCCGGGGGAAAAATACATTTAAAATCTTCTGAAAACTTTAAAACATAACATCCCAATGAAAATACAACTGTGTAATTAAAACTCTAAACCCGACCGCGCCGAGAATCGCTTCTCTGAATCGCGAAAAAAAGAATCGAGGTTGTAGATTCACTTAGAATCGCCTTATTTCCGTTTAATATAAGTTGGTTATAGAGTTGATATAAACTGCTGCGAATGGGAAATATCGGCGTTGACCGGGGCTAAAATATAATTAAAAACTCCTGAAAACTTTAAAACATAACATACGAATGAAAATAAACTCTGTAATTAAAAATGGAAACCTATGCGCCAGGAATCGATTCTTTGAATCGCGCAAAGGAATCATCGAAGGTTGTAGATTCCTTTAGGAGCGCCCTTAACATGTGGTGAGGGGGAGAGTGGTGAGGGGGGAGATGGGTGAGGGGGAGAGTGGTGAGGGGGAGAGTGGTGAGGGGGAGAGTGGGTGGTGTGTGGGTGAGTGGTGAGGGGAGTTGAGTGGTGAGGGTGAGGTTGAGTGGTGAGGGTGAGGTTGAGTGGTGAGGTTGAGTGGTGAGGGTGAGTGGGGAGGGTGAGTGGTGGTTGTTAGTGGTGATTAGTGAGGGGTGAGGGTTAGTGGTGAGCATGAGTGGTGAGGGTGAGTGTTGAGCGTGAGTGGTGAGGATGAGTGGTGATTGTTGAGGGTGTGATTGGTGAGGATGAGTGGTGAGTAGTGAGGGTGAGTGGTGAGGGTGAGTGGTGAGGGTGAGTGGCGGTTGTGAGTGGTGAATTAGTGAGGGGGGAGTGGTGAGGGTGAGCGTGAGTGGTTAGGGTGAGTGGTTAGGGTGAGTGGTGAGGGTGAGCAGTGAGGGTGAGCAGTGAGGGTGAGTGGTGATTGGTGAGGGTGTGATTGGTGAGGATGAGTGGTGAGTGGTCAGGGTGAGTGGTGAGCGGTGAGGGTGAGTGTTGAGGGTGAGTGGTGAGTGGTTAAGGTGAGTAGTGAGGGTGAGTGGTGAGCGTGAGTGGTGAGCGTGACTGGTGAGGGAGAGTGGTGAGGGAGAGTGGTGAGGGAGAGTGGTGATTGGTGAGGGTGATTGGTGAGGGTGAGTAGCGGAGGGTGAGTGGCGGTTGTTAGTGGTGCTTAGTGAGTGGTGAGGGTGAGTGGTGAGGGTTAGTGGTGAGCATGAGTGGTGAGGGTGAGTGTTGAGCGTGAGTGGTGAGGGTGAGTGGTGATTGTTGAGGGTGTGATTTGTGAGGATGAGTGGTGAGTGGTCAGGGTGAGTGGTGAGGTTGAGTGGTGAGTGGTGAGAGGTGAGGGTGAGTGTTGAGGGTGAGTAGTGAGGGCGAGTGGTGAGCGTGACTGGTGAGTGGTGAGGGAGAGTGGTGAGGGTGAGTGGTGAGTGGTGAGGGTGAGTGGCAAGTGGTGAGGGTGGGTGGTGATTGGTGAGGGTGTGATTGGTGAGGATTAGTGGTGAGTGGTGAGGGTGAGTAGTGAGGGTGAGTGCTGAGCGGTGAGGGTGAGTGGTGAGTGGTGAGAGTGAGTGGTGAGGGTGAGTTGTGAGGGTGAGTGGTGATTGGTGAGGGTGTGATTGGTGAGGATGAGTGGTGAGTGGTCAGGGTGAGTGGTGAGCGGTGAGGGTGAGTGTTGAGGGTGAGTGGTGAGTGGTTAAGGTGAGTAGTGAGGGTGAGTGGTGAGCGTGAGTGGTGAGCGTGACTGGTGAGGGAGAGTGGTGAGGGAGAGTGGTGAGGGAGAGTGGTGATTGGTGAGGGTGAGTGGTGAGGGTGAGTAGCGGAGGGTGAGTGGCGGTTGTTAGTGGTGCTTAGTGAGTGGTGACGGTGAGTGGTGAGGGTGAGTGTTGAGGGTGAGTGGTGAGGGTGAGTGGCGGTTATGAGTGGTGATTAGTGAGGGGTGAGTGGTGAGGGTGAGCGTGAGTGGTGAGGGTGAGCAGTGCGGGTGAGTGGTGATTGGTGAGGGTGTGATTGGTGAGGATGAGTGGTGAGTGGTGAGTGGTTGTTGTGAGGGTGAGTGGTGAGGATGAGTGGTGAGGGTGAGTGGCGGTTGTGAGTGGTGATGGGTGAGTGGTGAGCGGTGAGGGGTTAGTGGTGAGGGTGAGTGCTGAGTGGTGAGGGTGAGTGGTGAGAGAGTGGTTAGTTTTGAGGGTGAGTGGTGAGGTTGAGTGGTGAGGGTTAGTGGAGAGTGGTGATTGGTCAGTGGTGATTGGTGAGGATGAATGGTGAGTAGTGAGGGTGAGTGGTGGTTGTGATGGTGAGTGGTGAGGGTGAGTGGTGAGGGTGAGTGGTGAGGCTGAATGGTGAGGGTGAATGGTGAGAGTGAGTGGTGAGGGAGAGTGGTGAGTGAGAGTGGTGAGGGTTAGTGGTGAGAGTGAGTGGTGAGGGTGAGTGGTGATTGGTGAGGGTGAGTGGTGAGGGTGAGTGGTGAGGGAGATTGGTGAGGGAGGTTGGTGAGTGGTGAGTTGTGAGGGTGAATGGTGAATAGTGAGTGGTGAGGATGAGTGGTAAGGGTGAGTTGTGAGTGGTGAATGATGAGGGTGAATGATGAGTACAGTCAATATGCACTGCTGTTATCATACCAGGTACCACCACCACTATGTACTCCTCTCATCATAGCAGATACCACCACAGCAGTATGCACTGCTGTAATCATAGCAGGTTCCACCACAATATGCACTGCTGTCATCATAACAGGTACCAACACAGCAGTATGCACTGCTGTAGTGATAGCAGGTACGACCTCAGTCGGTATACATTGCTGCAGTGATAGTAGATACTGCTATCGAGTTGGTAGATACCGCTATAGTAAATACTAAAACAGTCAGTATATACCGCTACAGTCAGTCAATACTGCTACAGTCAGTATATACTACTATACAGTCAGTACATACTACCACGGTGAGTAGCTACTAGAGTCAGTAGATACTATTATAGAGTGAGTAGATACTGCTATAGATTTTGTAGTTACTACTATAGTCAGTGGATACAACTATAGTCAGCAGATACTATACAGTTAGTCGTTACGAGTATATAGTCGGTAGATACTACTGTAGGCCCAGTAAATACTACTATGGTCAGTAGTTATTACAGTCACTAAATACTACTACACAGTCAGTAGCTACTACTGGCTCAGTTGATACTACTGTACAGTCAGTAGATACTACTACAGAGTCAATAGATACCACTTACTCTGTTGTATGTAAGGTGTTGTTAGTATATATACCTACGAGGGGTAAAGATATTTTTTGAGGGGGGGGGGGGGGGGAGACCGCAATTTTCGGAAACATTTTGACATCAACTATTTACCCCACACTTTCTACAACTTTTTGGACTTGTGAAAGCCTCTTATATATTTGTTGGTGGAGAAATGTACAAACAGCCCACCGGGCTTTGACAATACCTTAGTATCTGTGTATATATATGTAAGGTTTTTAAGAAATATATTTTTCACTCGGGCAAAGCCGGGTACTTCCGCTAGTTAACAATATATATATTCAGGTGACGTCACTCCACATGGGAGGAGGGGGGACAACGCGCCTTCCTCCCCCCTCGGCGTCAACTCAACCCTCGCTACAAAGGCAGAACCCTCACGTCACGTGATCTCCGTAACGCTGTTGAGACATCGAAGTAAAAAGGACGTCTTGATGAGCGAGGGATTATAACCTTTAAATGAAATAAGTCTGTCACCGCGGCATTACATATTGCGCACGCATTGATGCAATGAATATCACGCCGCAGTCTGCTTTTCGCTTGAAAGTTTCAGATTTACTGAAACACACCTCGTCCTTGGACGGGCAAAAGCTACAGCGCTCGTGTTAGAGCTACGGCAAGTGAACTGCCGTTAAATAACTTTATAGCAAATCGTTCTCCGTAATTTAAGTGCATTGGAGCACAAAACGCGATCCTGTTAAAAACTAAGGTACAATTACGTTCTGGCAAACCGATATCGCGATCGCAGTCTTATCTGTGAAATCGAAGATTTGCATCGTGACAAATAGCACGGCGACCACAGGCTGAAACAAAAGCTGCTGTTTGGGTTCGAGTCAATTGCCCCCCTTCGCCCACCCTTCTCTCGTGGCACAGGGAAGATCACCCCTGGAAAATAATCAACACTTGGGGACACGGCGGGACATGGTATATAACATTTCCTAATGAGCACAAGTGGTACGTTCCACTGTTAAATGTGGAAAATGTCAGAGGTGCTGGGTAGTTCGACTGGGTTCTAGTACAGGCTGTGGTTTATGAACAGGCTTTATCAAGCTTCGCGAGTTTATGGTTTAGGCTTGGTCAATGGCGATTGTGCAAAACAACCGTTACATTACATTTGTGCTCATAATTCGATTAAATTCCAAGAAAAAAATATAAAATTGGTGTGGCTGTCATCATTATTACCGTTCGTGGCAGGGCGGGTGTGTGGAGCAGAGGTCGCTTGAAGCCAAGCTCAGCGGGAGCTCTGCAATGTGAATTTCCACAACGCGTTGCACACACTTCTGCCAGATTTCCTAATGGAGTGTTCGTCTCGTCACAGGTATGGAAAGATTGAAGACCAGCGCAGCGGGAATGCGGTGCGGCGTTTCCCAGCTTGCAAGGGGGATGGTGTCGCTGCTTTGTGGCCACGGAAGGTACTGCAGTGCAACACTTGGTCGAGTGTACGTAACACGATTACAACATGACGCAAGGGAGAACACTCAAAACCATGTTATAACTACGGTTACCGTCACTAAGTCTCAGATGTCGACCCATGTTACACAAACGGTGCCTAAGAAAACGTTAGCAATGCCACCTGACACCAGTGCGCTCGTGACCTTGCCACAAGTGGTACTTCAAGTCCACCAATTATCCCGGCAATTCGTCATGATGATGACCGAGTGTGGCAGCTGACGCATAATCTGCAAATGATGTGAAGTGTGGCGGGCATGGAAAGCCGAATCCGCTGGCAGGCATGGGCTGGAGTTCAGGACCGGGTGTTTTCATTACCATGCTCATGGTCCATCTTAATCCAATACCGATTTACGTGAATTCCCAGAGGCGTGGCCAGAATGTAATCCCAGAGCTTACAGTTTACCTTAAACTTGAGTAGAGCAAACACAGCTTGCGGTGGGGGTATCCACACCTGCCGTGAAGTGTGTCAAGCCATTGTGACCGACAGCGCAAAGAAATCACGCAGTGTTCCACTGTAGAAGTCATTTATTGATAATGTTGTGCTTTCAAAACACTTTCTACAAAACCCAATACGAGGAGGAAACCCCATCTCTGCTTAAAACAGCACAGCAAACTAAAGCAGTAAATATGTTTATATATAATATAATAATATACAGGGCTGAGAAAAGCCAGCACAAAATAAACAAGTTCTACAAGGAAGCCAACTAAACTGCATTGTACAATATTGTATATATTTATATATAAAAAAAAAGATATTTAGGCTTATACTGAGACTTGTTTTACTATTAACCCAACAGTGAACAACATTTGCACCGAAGGGGCACTTTTTCCTCATATAAAATACATTTAAATACACTACTGTGTACAAAATTTCCTAAAAAGAAACTCGCTCGACACGAAGGATGTCCCTTGATGCCTCCGACTCGGAAAACGGTAAACCTTCGACGTCCGAAAACCATTCCCCGTCACAAAACAACCCTCCGCCCACCAGATAAGCTCGTAGAGTAGACACAGACAGACACACGAGTCAGTCACGGATACCTCAATGGGGCTCCAAAAAAACTCTAAAGTTAAAAACGCATACTGACTGGTAACAGCAAAAAACCGCGGTCTCAACAGGTTTACTTCGGAAGTGAAATTCACAGCTGATGCTATAAACAACATTGTAATGAGAGAGAAAATAACAACCCCCCCCACAAGGGGACAGGCATAATAAATGTCATTGCACACGCGCGCACACACACACACTAAAGTTCGGCAACTGTATGTAATTAAGCATCACAGACATCATCCGTTGGCCTGAAATCACAGCAGCAATAATGTGTAAAGTGCGGGAAGCGTATGTAATACAAACCAAACAAAAAAGCCAATGAGGGGGGAGGACAACAGGGGCCAAAGCGACCACTAGACGCACCTACACGGTCTGTGAAAGGCCATTTCAGCGTGTAACAAAGAGCTGCCGACTAAGACGCGGACACATCACGACCACGTACAAACATTGAATCACAGTGTTAAAAGCTTATTTTGTCCACGTAAGACACAATCAGCTACCACTCCAATACACCAGAGCACGTTGACACACACACACACGACTAACGTCAACAACTGAGACCAGATTCACTAAAATCCTTACTACCACTTTTAGCTTGTACAGCCATGGTTAAGCCGCGCAGAAGTGCTTTTTGTTGTTGTCTTGGGCAGAAATCCATCAGACTCACTAGGAATGGTGGTCGTATGTTCATTCCTGCATACTGCAACAAATTAAACAAACGAGTTAATCGCAACACACCCAGCAAGTCGCTCAAGAGGCACATTGTTCCAAAACAATTCATGATTGGTATGTGTAGTTTCCTCGCCATTCCGATCCTGCTACACTGTCACAAAGCCACTGTTTCACAAATACATATGTTGGAAGTTTCTAATCTGATCCACCATTATTATGCACAGGCTAAAATCATTTCTCACTGAATGTTTTAAGCGTTCACTGGTCGACTGGTAGGTGGCACTTGGCTAGTAGAGAGAGGTCAACTGGATGTGGTGTCCTGGGAGCGAGACTATTTTTTAGATCACTAACCCAGACAGGGCTATTGTAAAAATTAAGCCCTGGATGTGTAACTTCTATGCTCGCCAACCAAGTATGGTCAAACAACTGGGAGACCTTCATCCAGCAGTAGATAGACAAAGGGTTGGCAAGCTGAAATTAAGCCCTGAACATCAGGCAATAAATCAGATGTAACAGAAAACACAAACTTTGATTTTATAAGAAGTTGACCCATACCTACTAATGCTCTTGAATATAAAAATATATACACTTAAAAAATACAGACACGTGCTCACCAAGGCCAACCAGCCAAAAGTCCAATAAAATGAAATGTTCTTAGCAGACAGGATAAAAACCAGCCAGCCCAATAAACGCTTATCTTCCAGCAAACCAATTCAGTTCAATTTTAATCAAGGCACCCTTTAATACAAGAGCCAACAAAACCTGGGAAAGAATGTACTACCCATAAATAAAGTATAAAATGCCACTCGGCTGAGTTGTCTTAGCAATTAGGCCATGTGGTTGTGGCCCGAATCTGGGTTAAGTCTACAGTTCACATTCAAGCAGATTAAAAGCCTGACCCGATCACCTACGCCTCCTCCCATGGATGGAAAGTGCAGTCGAGAGCTAATTTACAAAATTATGACGGAGGCAGGAGGTTTGTGTGGAGCCAACCCATCGCAGAGCCAGGTGTGCGTAGTGGGGTTTGCCACCTGGACTTTCCACCCTCGTCCTCTAAACACATTTGTCAGCTGCGTATTAATCCACCGCTCATGTAAATGTCGTTCTCCCCTGTTCTGGGTATTGTGAGATATCCTTCCCGTGCATCCCGGTTAATTTTGTACCTGAAGGAGGCGGGCAACCCAAGTGTGAATCCAGGTCTGCGTAAATGTATGTTGAACTGGAACTTCTTTTGCACCATACGTAGCCAACCATGCTAATCGAAGGTGCGGTAAAGCCACGTTTGGGGTGAAGAAATAATGTGTGCAGCAGCTATGCTGGATCCCTCACCTAACATCGTGGTCCTGGTGGTGGTGGTGGTCGTCGCGCCGTGCCTGTAACGACACGAGCAGCTCTTCGATGCGCTCCATGTTCTGGTCCAAGGTGAGGCCGGCCATGGGATCTGTGACACAGGCGGCGATAGCGGCCTGCAAGCTGCCACCCGACGCGACGTGTCCACTCGCAGGCGCCAAGGAGCCTGGGGCGGCACCGGCTACGCTTCCGACGGTGTCGCCCCCCCCAGCGCTGCTGCCGCCGCCGCCACCGCCACCCAAAGACCCGGACGCCTGCAGGAGGTGGGAGGCTGGCAGCGCACCCAAACCAAGCTGCATGGGCTCCCCACCACCACCCAAGGGCTGGCTCTGACCAACTGAGCAGTGACGACACGCACAAGACAGACCGGTGTTAGAAGAGGTCACATTTTGAAAAGCAAAAGAGTACTGTATACATTTCTTTCCCCCCCCCCCCCAAGGCTAGGTGCATCATGGAATGAGATGAAGTATCCATTTGGAACTCAAAGCAGTGCAACCCTCAATGTTAGAGAAGGGCTCAAATGGAAACTACATCTGGGATCCCTCCCAGTGACCTCTGCTGAACCTTCCCACCTGCTCTGCCATTGACAGCAGTGTTTTGTGCATGATAATTACTGGAATTTAGAAAAATTAAGTGCAAACATTTATTGTGATGTTTTGTGCCATTATTGGTTATCAAGCTAAGACGCATCAACTTACTAGACTTGAGAACCTGGTTCATTCACAGGTGGCTACTGGGAGTTGAATCCGGCATCTCGGCGGTGTCGGCTCAACGATCTTGAGCCACACAGCACCTCAGCAAAGGTACTGTGTTCACGTGAACGCTGAACCAACGAAACAAAACTTAACATTCAAGTTTGTTTCATTTTATTCATCTATTCCCTTGAGCAATATTCTGTTGCAAGGTCAAGAGGTCATCACGACCACTGTCAAAACATCAAGCCATTGCTTCCTTCTGCTAGATTCCATAGCTATAGCAAAATGAAAACCCTGAGGTCTGTTTCCAAGATATTTTCAGTCACCGTAACTTACCAGTGTCCATGTCCACAAACAGAAACAGGTCCGGCTGTTGCAGAGTGACCGCCTGCTGATTTTGCTGAGACGTCGCGTTGGGCGCCTGGGCCGACGCCTGTGATGCCACCAGCCCCCCTGGCTCTCCCTGGAACCCGGAGAACATCGTGGCTTGCCGAGGAGGGTTCTCTGGCGCTTGCGATGGCAACATCTCTCCGGGGGCCATCGGTACGACTGAGCCTAGCCCTGTCACAGACATGATGCCATCGCCTGGCAGGCTGGCGGGCGGTTGGTTACCACCTGCGACCGGCGTCACGGACGCCTGAAAGAGGCCAGGCTGTCGAGTCTGAGCATTGCCCTGCTGCGCCGGCAGCATTTCTATTATGGTCTGCGGTGGTGCGTTGGACATGTGAATGTTGATGTTCGGCTGGGAAGGTAGAATATTTCCTGCCGAAAATAACAACGTAGGTGGCTGAGACATTACGTTGGTCTGCATGGCCATAATACCACCATTGGTCTGAAAGAGGCCGGGTTGTACTGTGTTTCCATTGGGGTGACTGGATATGAGCTGTCCAATGGCTTGCGGTTGGCTTGACATCTCAATTTCGTTCTTTCCCTCAGTCGAGATGCTGTCTCCGACCACCAGTAAGCTGAACTGTTGAGTGTTGCCGCTGTGTTGCACAATTCCTGAGGGCTGAAACAAGCTGGGCTGCTGAGATATGTCTCCAGTGGTTTGGAAAAGGCTTGTTTGTGAATTCGTTTTTGGCAGCTGTGGAGTAATGAGGCCTAGGTTTTCATTTGGGGCAGATATCTGCATTCCTGAGTCAACCTTCATGGATGACATGGAGCCCTCCACCTGATACAGATCTGACTGCTGGGAGCTGTCGCATGGCGCTACACTGCCTTGGAATACCGCCTGCTCCAAGCTTCCGTTTTGTTGCGTTATACCTCCGTCAGCCTGGGATGAATTCAAGATCTCAAGCTCCTTGTTTATCTGAGAAAGCATTTCATTGGTGTGGTACATGCTGCTCATTTGGGTCCCACTGCTCGGCTGAGAAGAAACAATGTTCACGGCGGCCTGAAAGAAGTCTGCCTGGCTGGAACTGCTGGACGCCTGAGTGACTTGAAAGAGATTCGTCTGCTGAGGACTCTCATTGGAATGTTTGTTCAAGTCGCACACGGCACCTTGAACCATGTCGACTGGCTGGCACTGCTCATGCACCTGCATCATGTCCAAGTTGGACTGAAACATATTGGAAATACCACTCCCTGTGCACTGCTGCAGCATGGGAGCGCTCGACTGAAAGCCGTGCGGCTCCGAGGTGGCGTCCGACCGCATCTCCATGAGGTTAAAAGTGTTGGAATCGGAGAGTTGGCTGCTGCTCTGGCCCGACGCAATTATTTGGATCATTTCAGCCTGGATCTGCCTATTGGCATCAGCAATAACCTGCTCCACCACTTCGGCCGGAGTCTGCTGATAGACGCCAGTCTGAATTGGACCCTGTGGAACACTCTGTGTTGTGTACTGCATCATTTCGTTGTGCGTCATGAAATGCGAGGACTTGGCTGGATTTTGATCCTGGTGAAACAGCTCGGGTTTCATGTCGACGTGGGGCCTCTTGTGGGCCGCTTGCTGTATATCCATGGCCTCCTGGGGTTGGAAGACAGCGCCGCCGCCATGCGACCTCTCCTCCAGCGCCTGCTGCATCTCGATCACCATGTTCACCGTGTCCAGGTCCTCTGAGCACATGCTGCTCGGCTGCCTGTGCAGACTCACGCCCTCGCAGCGCAGCAGCGGCGACGACGGGGGGTTCGCGTTCGACCCCGAGGACTGCATCAGCGTCAGCGGCGGTGCCGCCGTCACCTCGCACAGCTGCTGCTGTGGCACGTGCTGCTCGGGACGTGGGTGGCTCACGGCCATCCCCTCTTCCACCTGAGCGTTGGTCTGCGGTGCAATCTGAAACATCTGTTGGGGCGACTGCTGCTGCTGAGGAGGAGGCTGTTGAGAAGGAGGCTGAGAGCCCTGCTGCATCAAGTGCAACTGCGTGGTAATGGGCACCATGGGCTCGCCAGCAGACAAGATTCCATCCATGATGCTCACGGGCACTTGGCTGCCTGCGGAATCGTTCTCCGCTTGCGCCTCAACACGAGGAGCCACAGATGATTGCTGTGCCATGGGTTCTCCTGCCGTCTGATAAACCACTTGCTCCATCGATGGGTTTTGCAGTGCAGCCGCAACTTGCAAGAGGCCCTGTTGTTGTTGTTGTTGTAGACTGCCGTCCTGGCTCTGCACTTGCACAATTAAGGTTTGGGGGGTAAAATTTGGAGCCTGAACTGGCTGGCTCTGCGGTTGTTGTTGCTGTTGTTGCTGCTGTTGCTGTTGCTGCTGCTGTGGTGAGAGACCTCCGTGGGCAGAAAGATGAGCAACTGATATGTCGCTCGGCTCAGGTTTGAACTGGCTCATGGCAGAAAGCTGTACAGGGGATCCAAGTTGCGTCGGTGACAAACAGAAGCACGGCTGTTTCATATCCTCCTGTTTTGGAGACATCTTGCACGTAACACTAATTTCCCCGCCGGGCTGTAAAACAAAATCGGAACATGACAACACATACACACGTACAGTAAAGTCTAGAATACAATATGCATACACATAAAAATGCAGAGACAACAGACCCCCCCCTTCACAACACACACTTCCACAGTATGCAGTCATTTGCGCTACACACGCATACATACGCACATATAAATGCACACAGGCAACAACAAAGATCTCCTTCAGAGGGTAGACCACTGGCACAAATCTGCTGGTAAGCACCTATTATTGCTGGCATGCGACGTGAGAAGGTGGTGGAGCCAACACCACACCCGGCTGAGACTGCCTCCCCTGCATTGCGTGTTGCTACACCAGCATAACAAGTTGTCATTCTAAGCAGAGTTTGCCACATGCGTGCGCACACACACGGTATTCTCTTTGGCACCGCTGGGCAATTAATTCGACACTTTCCGACTGCCTCGTGGTGGTGCTGCGGGCACCAGAACAGAGAAGCGAAAAAGAAATAAAAATGGGGGCCCTGGTGAAGTTGCAGAGGTTAGGATGAAGGACAGTGGGGGGAGGGCTGAGTACAAGTGGCTAGTTGAGGGATCAGCAACCAAAATCAATTTTATTTGGTAAAAAAAACTATTCCAAGAGCAGCAATGCATGCAAATACCAGATCCTTCAAAAAACGTTACAAAGCAGTCCTTAAAGAGCCACATGCAGCTCTGGAGGTTGCCAACCCCTGGGCTAATTTAAAACGGTTAACGGCAAGACTAGCGTTTGGTTAGCCAGTGAACTCCATCTTAAAACTTATTTTCCCCTCCCCTCTCCTTCACTGCAACACGGAGTAGTCCCTGACCATTCTTTTGGTGTTTTCTGTTTCTGACAAATCGCAGGGGCCCACTTTAACAGATCGATTCTCACACCTGTTGGGGCAGGGGGCTGCTGTTGGACACCTCCATCAGGGCAACGTCATCCAGCTTGGACAGGAGCAGCCCACCCGGCGCGTCGCAGCTACCCGGCTTGAGGGCCAACGTGACGCACTGGCACGTCACGGGCGCTGTACGGGAGGAGATGCAATGGTGCGGCGATGCAGTGTGGAAGGTCACAGTGGGAAGTGTGGGGGTGGGCATCATCAGTGATGCTTTGAAGGAGATTATTCGTAACCAGCCCAAATGCCATCAAGACAAGTGGCTTTATAGCAGACCCAAGACATAGTGGCAATGAATTTTTTTTTTTAGCATGCACTTATCCTCAATATTTATGAAAACAATTACATTGATCACACTTGTGCCAAGATGCACAGTAATCAGAACACCCATAGGCTGAATATCAAATACCTAATTAGGTAATGGTGCTGTGCTGGAGTTACTTGCTCACACAACTGCTGGCAAAATAAAAGATTGTATCCTGTGCAATGTTGTTTGCCCTCTTGTCACTCCCGTCTTGTGTTTTGTGACAGTTATGCCGTGAATCCTGTTGGGCTCACATTTAAATTAACATTTTGCCCAATTGCAAGAATGAAGTGTTGATTGCAATGCATTCACTGCGCACACTGCTGTACAGGGTGGTCCATGTCTTCTGACCCTCCAATGAATTGACCCCTAACATACAGAATTCCTGGATCCTTCACAAGGTCATTTCTAATATTTACAATGATAATTAATACAATTATTGCATGTAATTATTTTCTTGCTTACATTACATTACACACCCATTGGTATCCAAAAAGATTAAGTTTTACAGAATGAAATTAGGGCCACAATGCATCTGGACAACTCTTGGTTGCAGCATTCCCCTCTCTGAATGTGATTTTATATATGGGATGATTTTATATCTACATATATAAAAGGGAAATTTGTGAATGTGTCTTCAAAATGTTTAGCATACATCCTGACATGCCACAAACTTGAAATTTGGCATGTGGGTAGCTTCCAGACTGAACACAATGCAAAAAGTATAAAAATATACTTTTGTATTTTGGGGAGTGGGCGCAATAATGTATATATTTTGCACAGCAAGTGAGCGGTGACGTCACATCTGTGACATCACATCTGTGATGTCACCCGCATGCATCAGCGTTACGCAGTGTGCCTGCTGACGTCACTTCCCCCCCCAACCCTCTGTGTAGGCCGTGTAGTAAAGCGAGTATTATATATAAAATAACGATGAATTGAAAGCTCATGTGTTCATAACTACAGCTTGAGCAACCACCTCGGAGAGAAGAGAAGACTTACTTTGTAAAGGATCTTCGAAGGCGCACTGCGACGACTCTTCACTTTTTATGCTTTTCGTTTTTGCAGGCACCGTGACTGCGCACACACACACAAGACAGACGTTACAGTGTGCCAGAGTTTAGTCCGTGAAGATGTTCAATAGCTCAAATACGCATCACAGTATAAAGGTAAAGGTGCAGCTCCGCAAGTGCCTGCTCACGCCAAAGTTGGCCGATGGTCCTCTGCTATAGGGAGCTCTCCAGAGCCGCTGAAGGGTATTCTGGACTACTCTCACTTGCCAGACGTTTTGGAAGAGGTGGAAGTAGCCATCAACAGCTGTGGCGTAACCATTTATTACTGTTGGGTGGACAGGCGTGAGGATTTAAGCAACTTGCCCAATGTTTCAACTGCTGTCCTGGAAAATTAAACCAGCAGAGACCTCTGGGATTTCAAATCCAGTGTGCTAACTATTACATAACAGCAACATCCCACTGAAATCGGTGCTTAATTTCAGCCTGGTCTGTCCAGATCAGCAAGCCAGACTATTTCTTCACCTAGCACACCACATCCAGTATTCCACACCTATTAGCATGGTTGGCTATGTACCATGCGAAATAAGTTCTACATACATATACATCTAGCTATGGCTACTCAAAGTCACATGCATTATCCAATCAACCACCGACTCTTAAAATATTGCACAAGTAATTAAAAACCTTGCATTAAACCCACCACACAAACAACAGTGGAGCACCATTAATCATTGCTATCGTGAAATCAACAACCTCTTTTGGCAAACCTACAACTGCATACCAACCTTCACGCCTCCGCAGGCATTTTTTATTGCAAAGCTGGGGGTCTAATAAAAACGGTGCTATGTTGATGAAACTAAAATATTTATTTAACTCCACAGGCACACGTGGTGTAAAGGGATGAGCATTTTGGAGATATCCCAATAATGCATGTACATTAAATCTAAAAACATGAACATACAAGCGCTCCTATCCACATGATATTAAATCATGAAAACTTAATTTATGTGTAATTATTTTTTTTCACCGTCTCTCCGAAAAGCTGGCCCCTCCAAAACCTTTAACTTGGTGAGCCCACTCATCAGCCATGGTCAATCCACTGCTGGATGAAGGCATCCCCAAGTCACCGCCACCACCTTGCACGATCCTGTGATGTAATAAGCCACCTAAGCACCTGCACACAAGTCGATTTCATCGCTCCATCTCCTTGGTACTATTATACACAAATAGCGAGCCCGTCATGTGACCACTCTACGGAAATCCAGCACGAGCTGACCCTCTTCCCTTACCTGTGTCGGGTGTGTACGTGAACGGCTGCACCTCATGCGACCGCCCTGCGCTGCTGTTCACAAAAATCCCCACAGACACAGGACTGGCGATGTCGGGGTCGCAGTACGGCGGTACTTTCACTATAAGGTGGTTCTGCACATCACACACACACGCACAGATACGCGTCACGAAGGGAACAATAAGGAAAACAACGAAAGACAAAGATATCTCGCTCTACAGCGCAAGTGCTGCAATAGTTGGGGTCGCCAAGAGATGTTTGGAGGAGCGGGGCAAAATGTGAGATGAGGCTCCCCCTCGAATCTGAAGTCTGAAGAAACTGCCCCCCCCTCTTTACATATTTGCTGTTAGCGAGCACTTATAAAGGCCGGCATGGTACAAGAGATAATGGTATGGTATGGCCTTGGTCTCCCTACTGCAGATATTTGCACAGCTTGCCAAGCACTCATTTAATGCTGAGTTAATCTACTGGAGGCCAAAGACAGGTTCAGATTCCACTTGCCAGTGATGTTTAGCCATGGCTGGGAATTTCACTCTGGTTGGTGTATTTGTAGTAGTGTGGGAAACCACTGTGCCACTGCTCCCCACCACACAGAAATCTGCAACTGGAAATCTTACAGTGCAACGGTTTTACAGGATGCTGCGTTTACATTTAACAAACAGCATGGAAACAGACCAAAGCAGATTTGTTTATTTAACGCTTGATACCAACATGGCAGGAACACAAGGACTTTTATTAAGTTACCCGAGTGGAACACTTCGCAAGGCGAAAACTCACCCTGTGGCAAGACGAGACAATCTTTATATAAATTACAACATCCAAGCCATGAAAAGCATCCATTGCCACAGCTGACGCACGGGAGTCTTTACTGCGCATCGACAAACAGTAAACCTAAAAAAATCCATGCTGCAGACAATCTTCCAAAAGTGCAGTATTTATGTCGGTAATAAAAGCATAATCAGCACAATTGATATCAATTTAAAGGTCTGCGCTATATTCCAAATGTCTATCAAGGCAATGTGCATTAATTTTCACTTTTAGAAGCATTGTATTTTATTTGTTTTTAGTGCTGATGATTTGTCAAATGCTAACATGTTGTTTGATAGCAGCAGCATTGCTCCTGAAGTTATGCAACACAATATAATTTTTATGTACAATGCCTTTAAATGCAGCCGCGTCTCAAGATGGCACATCACTGCATGCTCCGAATGCAAGAATAATGGAAATGTGAATACCTGGTGATAAAACTCCATATCAATCTCTGCTTCTGCCTCCCACACAACTTGTCCTTCTGCATCGAGAGAACAGAACAAACATGGTTTGTGTCAAACTCTTCAGGGAATGCCAGCAGACAGTGCGTCGTATTGGTGACATTACAAATTTAATAGAGCCATGGGTCAACAGCAAGACAATACAGACTGCTATCAAGCTGAACATACATTGACTGTTTTACTCAAAATAACACGATGGCTCTACAGCGACTTCTGATGTGTAATAGAAAAACATCACATGCCTTAGACGTTACGTTGGAGGTCACGGAGGTCACTGCACTCACTCAAAATGCCCCCCCCCCCCCAAGCCCTACAATTGGCCACTTATCTCTCCCTACCCCACTCGCCTTTCATCAGTCATTTCACCTCGTATCTCCCACCACCACAACCCCGTTATACCCTCCGACGTCCATCCCACCCCCCCAACCCCATGGGGAGCTCTGCCCCGGCACGCACCTGCTGCGTTCTCCTGGAAGATGACCTTCACACCTTTGAGAAAGTTCTTGCCGATGATAAAGAGCTCCTCACCCCCTTGTGGCGAGCAACTGTGCAGGCTCTTTTTCAAGATCTCTGGAGTTCCTGCTGGCTGAGCTGCAAGACACAGCAGCAAGAGACGCTCATTATCATCATCGTCGACGAGGCCACCGTTGTTGCAGTGACCACAGTCGTAACCACAACCGTGCAAGGAAAATGCTGCAGCTGATATCGCAAGCGACGATCCTCGGCAACCCAACTGTCATCCGAATCACCACGCTTTACAGCAGTTCACGCCAATTAACAAGTTGGACTGTTTAAAAGTAGTACAACATCAGAATTTTGTAGAATTGTGTGTGTGTGGACAGATTATCACGGGTGGCAGGGTGGCACAGTGGTAACTCGTGCCACAGTAAGATAGTCCTGGGTTCCATGTCCGACTCAGGCGCATTTTCTGCGTTGAGTCTGTTCTCCCCCGATCTGCAAGGCTTTTCCTCCGGCTACTCCGGTTTCCTCTCATTGCTAAAAATAAAACAATGTAACTTGCATTGGCCAAATATCACAATGCTAAAAGATTTCCTGCAAACCAATCCATTTGGATTACACACAGCATTCATTTCACTATGCTGTGAAAAAACGTGGCCAGGCCGTCTTTAGAAAGAGTCTTGAGACTGAGCGAGGCCTTCCTGGGTAAACAAGTCAACGATCATAATAAATCGTGCTATATGGAAGTTCAAATGTGCTAACAGTATTGTTCAACTCTTGAAACGA